TCTGCCCAGCAAACAGACTGACCCCAGCCATTAAAGTCTCAGAGCCATTCATGCTCAGAACAACTACTTCACCAACTATTACACTAATAAATAAAATCCTGAAGTACCCTAAAATTTGGGGAGTTATTCAAAGTTTATTTTCTTCTAGTAAACATATAAATCAAAACCACAACAGCAGGGCAAGATGCTAAATGCTTAGTTATTGATGAAGGCACTCATAGCATATTTTGCTAATGGCTCTGCCTTGATTAATATAAAAAAAAATCCTATTGATTTTGCTTAAAAACATTTTAAAAGTGCTCACCACGCTGGCAGCAGAAATATATTATGAAGTGCACAGAACAATCATTTAAACAGGGAAGAAGCAGAGCCAGCCAGGCAGAGACATTATAAGGAGATAAATTCTGAAGCTCTTGTCAATCCCACCGAAGCAGCACCAGCACTGGAGGCAGAGTCTGGGCCAGACCATGGTATCCTACTGCTACTGAGTACAGATCTCAAACCCAGACTCAAGACAGACAATATGCAGCTCAAAAACAGGACATGCTTTTCCACCAGGACTCTCTCCATGAGCAACGCTCATTGAAAAGACACAAATCTTTCAGTCTGTGGCATGGACATATTTAAAATAAATAAAAAGTAAATCACACAGACATGCATGTTTTCTGGCCGGAGTAGCATAAAATCCCTGTTAACTACTGTTGGTCTCAGCTGGGCACTCTGTACTAACGCTTCTACTGGTCTCATTAATATTGTATCCACACTTTTCCTCTCACTCTGAATAACCCTTTGAGATACCATGGCTGTCAGTAATCAAGATCCAGGATCACAGGACATTTTGTTCTGGAAGAAAAAAAAGCATTTTTCTGTGGATATAACACAATTCTGAAGTCTGGGATCTCAGGGACATGTATGTTAATAAGAGTAAAGAATTTTAAATGAGTATTTCCCTAGGTTCCCATGGGAACACAACACTTCCTTGCAGATCCGGATAGCTTCAAGACACTGGGTTGCACTGGGTTTGCGTGGCAAAGTTTGGTAGTGGAGGGAGATACAGGCGTGGCTGCTGTTGAGAAGCTGCTGGAAGCCTCCCCCGTGTCCAACAGAGCCAAAGCCAGCCAAGACAAACCCACCGCTGGCCAAGGCCGAGCCCATCAGTGACAGTGGTAGTGCCTCTGGGATAACATTTGAGGAGGGAAGGGATTGGGGGGAAAGGAGTGAAAAGGAAGGAAGAGAAATTGCAGCCAGAGAGATGTGAAAGGAACAGCCCTGCAGACCCCCAAGCCAGCGAAGAAGGACATGCTCCAAGCACCGGAGCAGATTCCCCTGGCGGGAGGGCAGGCTGGCCCCTGCAGCCATGGAGGGTCACGGGGGGAACAGAGACCCACCTGCAGCCCAGGGAGGACCCCATGCCAGAGCAGGGGGATGCCCGAAGGAGGCTGTGATCCCGTGGACTGCCCATGCTGGAGCAGGCTGCTCCCTGTCAAATGGACTCACTCTGGAGCAGTTGGTGAAGGACTCACATTGGAGAAGCTGGTGGAGAACTGCCTCCTGTGGGAAGGACCCCATGCTGGAGAGGGGGCAGTGTGAGGATCCACCCCTGAGGCAGCAGAGACGTGATGGACTGACCACAGCCCCCATTCCCCATCCCCCTGTACTGCTCAGGGGGAGGAGATAAGAGAAATGGGGAGTGAAGCTGAGCCTGGGAAGAAGGGAGGGGTGGGGGGAGATGGGGTTTAAGATTTGGTTTAAGTTCTCTTCTACTCTGATTTGATTGGTAATAAATAAATTTTCCCCAAGTCAAATCTGTTTTGCCTATGACAGTAAATGCTGAGTGATCTCTCCCTGTTCTTTCCTCAATCCATGAACCTTTCATTACACTTCCTCTCCCCTGCCCAGCCCAAGGAGGGCAGTGACAGAGCAGCTTTGGTGGGCACCCAGCCTCCAGCCAGGGTCAACCCATCACATGGGTTAAACAATCACTAAAACATATCTAAAACAAGCTATTCCTAGATTTTTCAGTAGCTTCCCAGTTACTATTCACTGGGGCTACTGGCTCAAGGGGAAGAGACCCACCGAAGCACAGCGGTACCTGGGCAGAGCACACCAGCAAGGCCCAGCTCCTCATAAACACACCTGGAAGCAGCCAGAGGAGTCTGAATATTTGACAAGAGAGCTCAACTCTTTGGGGTTAGAATGGGACTGACACTCATCAGGGGACGTACAACAAGCTGTTATTGCCCCATTTGTTCATGCCTTATGCACTCTTTACTCTGTGCCTTCTAAGCACCTCTCTGCTGCCTGCCATGGCTGTCTCATTATCCAGCCACGGACAGTGGCAACCAACCACTCCCCCTACCCAACGGTAAGTGAGACAGCTTCTGCAGCTCAGCACAAGTTACGTGGGGAGAAGTTCATCATCAGAGACTCTTGTCCTGGCTTTAGTTCTGGAGGTGGCAGAACCTCGTGTTGTGGAAGATGAGCAGAATCCCAGGAAAAAGCAAGTCTAGGTAAAGCCCGTGAAAGTTTCTCTACTTGCTTCAGAGGAATAAAGCATTGAGGGAAGTTGCATTTGTGAACTGAAAGATACCTCCAGCCTTAGAAACACCACCTACACACTTGGTGCAGATTCCTGAACATGAACTGCTGCATTCCTCCTCTCCCTATGCATCAGGACTTGCAGCCTAACTCCAAACTTGCCAATGTCAACAGGCTGCTTCCTCTTGCTTGCCATTCCATTTCTCTCAAGTGACTAGGCTATGGAACAGGCCCTGCCTTCTTGGCATCACAGAAGTTAGCAATAATTACAACAGAACAGTTCAAGCTAACATAAGACCTGATGAAAATATAATTCTCCGTTTGAAATTAAAAATATCAGGAGGGTCTCATATGAAAAAGCAAGAGAGCCATGGCGAGAGGTAAACAAACAGATGAGATGAAAACTGTGCTAGACACTTATAACACTGTATACAAATGTACCCTATTAATAGAAAGATGTCTCAATTGCACCAGTTTTTAAAGAAACAAATCCCTGTAGATGAAACAAGACTAATGGAATTACATCTACTGGGCTATTTTTAAAAAAGCAGATAGATAAATAAAGAAAATTAGAACTTAATCCAGAGGACCACTGGGATAACTTAAATTAGGTTCTTACAAAAAAAAAGATTTAGACAGGAAGAGAAGCTGTGTTTCAATCAAAGTATTTGATCATTCAAGGTAAGTATACCGGAAAATGACATTTTCTGCTTTATTTCATTTCTTTAGGAAATAATCTCTTTCTTCTCTGTTCCTAGACAAAGCATAAAAAAACCCACCTTGAAACATAACAACTAGTATCTCCCACTGTTCTCTTACTGAACACAGCTCTCTCCTCCCACCTCTGAAATAAAGATTTCTTACCATGGTTACTTCATCCACCCTGTACATTAAATATGCTGCTGCTACAGTGCTCTAACATTTCAATTTGCTTGTGATATTTTCAACATCTCCCTGAAGCTCTTTGTAAGAATATACAAAAGAAGAAAACTGACTATTTACTGAACAGTAAAACATAAACCCTATCCTCCCTCTAAACAAAAGCTTCATTAATCTTGCACAGAATTCAGTTCCTTATTTTATAGAAAACAAAAAACCCATGTAAAAGTCTGGAAAGGTATCCTGCAATGAGAAACAGTGGCACATTTATTTCATTTCTTAGGTTGAAAGCGAGGTTGGAACTTGATCATTGCACTTAATACCAGCATACAGAGAACCTGCTTTTTGTAAGGTGCAAAGACAGAAAATGCAGCACGTGGAGATTCAAGTCAAGTTGGAAATAACACACAACTTCTTTTATGCCAACAGGGTAATTAGCTACCAAGATAACTTACCATGGAAAGCAGCAAGTTCATAACAGGTATTAAATCAAATTTCCATGTGTCTCTCCAAGTTACAACCTAATATAAGCCCAAACCCTTGGCTTTAGAGTATTCAGTCGCTCAGAGTAAGAGCGCCAAGACGCTGTACCCCAGAACCAAAACCCAAAGGTGTAGGAGTTGAACAAAGCCAGGGCAGGCCACTTGGCCAGCTGGAGCATAAAACCAGAACAGCAGCCAGTCCGTTCCTCTTGGGTGAGATTTCAGTGGCAATTTCAAAATCAGGGCTCCCTCTCAGATGTCATTCACAGGTTTAAACTACTCACTGAGACAGGAAGAACACAGAGCCACTAACAACTCCTATGAGGACACACAGGGATGTCCTTTTAGGACAGTCCATTACACACGTGGAAACAAAAAAGGGTGTTTTAGCATTCTCAAACCACTGTCTTTTAGTCATTTTGAAAATCCCAAGGGAAGCTATTGTAAGGAATAATCAGCGCAATCAAATTCTGCTGACAACCCGAATGGCAGAACAGGCCCTGGCCACCCCAGTGAACTGAAATGGTTTCGGCAAGGATCCTTGGTGGCAGATCCCTCCGTTTCCCATACAGCTAGTCAGGGCTGAATCAGTCAAAGCCCAGAACCACATCAGCCTTCTCCCAGTCCACGGGAGACAGCTCAAGCGACACACAGACAGCAGATGTAAATCCCATAAGCCCTCTGACAGGCAGAGAAGTTCACCACACTTTAAGTGACGGATGGTCACCAACTGGGACAATGTACCAGAATACACCTGCAATGACGACGGTACTCCTCAGAGCACTTGCTGTCAAACAGTTCTCTTCGGCGATTCTTCATACTTACAGCTACTCACACTGATATTTCAGACCTAATATAAAATATTAACATCTACATTTAACGTATTCTGAATAACATTGACTGAAAGGACAATCTGCATAGGTAAAACTGCAGTAAAATGGACATATCCCAAAATGGATTTCAAGAAAGCAAATTCCCACAGCACACTCTTGTATCCTTCAAGCTATGACAATCTTGTCACCATGGTACCTCAGGGTTCGATTAGCAGCTATAAAGAAAAAAAAAAAAGGATGGGTTTTTGGAGCACATTTATCAAGCCTTAAGGTTTTTAATTTTTTTATTGAGGAATTAGCAACACCAGCTGGTATTGCACCCTACAAGTTCTTTAAAAGTTTATGAAGGTTTGACATCAGTGGCAGATCCATTTACAGTGTGCAAGAAGGAAAATAGATCAGGAAACAGCAAGAGCTGGATATTTTCAGTGCATGTTTAACCCGAGAAAACAAAAGAACGATTCTTCTTGCACTGCAGTTTGTCATCCTCCCAGTACAGGCCTGTAAATTTACACAGGAGGCAAGACAATCCCAATCCAATTTTAAAATGTCTCAATCATTCAGTCTTTTTCCTTGACCCAACTTATCACTTATCTTCGCAGCTCACAGCAGTTTCACCAGGATGCTGTGTCTTCAATTTTTTATGAGATGGCTCTCCCGGGAAAAGAGACGTGCAATGCTCTAAGGATCGTGCAATTTCATCAATTGTCCATTTCTCTTCAGAAAGGGCATGCTCCTCTAGCGTAAAGGGCCCTTGTTTGGTCCGGGTCAGCTCTTGCATAGTGGCACAGGTAGAGAGTTCTACAGTAAACGAGAGAAGAGGATTTAGAAAAAGTGCATGGTCAAGTTAAACTATTTCCAACTCATTTCAAATGTGTTTTTACATGTAGCCTTCTACGTTATTCTGCTTTGTCTGAGAAGCAAGTTCATGAGGATTTATCACTCATTTATATCTTCTTAAATCTGAGCCAAGGAATTAATTTGATTTCAATAGATCTTCAGTGTAGTAAAGAGTTCAAAACCTGACAGAAAGTTGTCAAAAGGATTTCCAGATTCCAGTCAGAATTAAGAGAGAGGAAATAATGTCGTAAGACGTGAGCAGAACATTCTGTGTTCATGAGTGACTTAGAAGACCATGGACTGTTTTTCCACAGACTTTGAGGGCTTAGCACTTCTTGCCTTCACAAAGGATTGACATTTTTATCCTGTGCTGCCTATCAAAATGATAAAAACTATGATAAAGGAAAAATAAAAAATACTAAAAAATGCCCTGCTATGTTAAATAAATACCAGAAAAGCAGAATTACGTAATGAGAGGCTACAAAACATAACAGCAACCACACTGACAAATAACACCACTGAAATGCATAGGGTTAACCCACATCACTTGCTTTCTTCATCTGCAAAAGTATGATTTAAAAAAAATTTGAAATGGATTATCGGTTCTCCATCATGCAGTTTAATAGATACAGAGCACAAGACAAATAACCCTATGGGAAAGCAAAGCCATCCACAGTTCAGGTAAAGGAGAAAGAAAACACCAGAAAAATCATCACAAAGTCTTTCCAGCAGATAGGGTTTATTATGTGCATGGTAATGTTCTGTGCAATCTGTTTTCAAAATGTGATGAATAACGTTTAAAAAGACAGTATCTCCTTCTTCTCACCCTCCATCTGAGTTACCTTATATGGAAGAGGGGGAAAAAAAACCAAACCACCTTGCCTTCTATTACCTTACTCAGCACTATTACTTCCTCCATTTTTATCCCTCAGCCCCCAAGGTCCTCTGGCAATTCTTGAGCCTTCATTCCCCCACTCTCCCAAGGAAAATACCTTGGTATATAAAAACAAGCGACAGCGCTACAATTCTGCAAAATAGGGCATAGGGCTGGTCACTGGAGACACAGAACACGACAGGGTTTTTCCATAAACAGACACATTCATTCCTTGAACACATTCCTTGAACAGACACATTCATTCATTCCAGGGTTTTTTTCATGCCTACCTTTGCCAATGTCACTGACCAGGCTCCTGACATAAAAGCCACCACCACATTCAACATCTGGAATGTGAACAGTGACATGGTAAGTTGCCAGTGCAATGTGAAATCCACTCTACCTAGAAACCGTGCCCCCACACAAGTGTAAAAATGCGCTAAGCAAACAAGTCAGTGATAAAATATTTATAGGATGCAACATCAATTATTCATCCTGTAACATATGTGCGGGTGAGATTGCTAAGCTAGACAGGAGGGAAAGCAAATACAATGGCAACCGAACTAACTCACTAGAAATTAAGTACTTGCTGTGGTATGTTAACAAATGCTTCAGTCTTATTCATTTCTACGGTTTCAGAAGCTTCTTTCATGTTTCTAATGATGAAAACAAGTTGTTACAAGTAGAGTCTAAAGTGACTATCAATGCTTTTAAGATACGGCATACAGGTAGCTCCAAGAATATTTTAAAATTCACCTTTAACTTTTTCTGTGCTCTCAGCCCTTCCCTTCCTCCCCTGCCAGCCATCAGCTGCTAGTCACCCAGCCGTGAAGGAAGCGCTGAAGTAACGCAGCGCTGAGTCCTGCCACTCATACCTGCTCCTCATCTACCGCCTGGTTTGTCAGAAAGCGATGGGTCAGCTAAGTAGCTGATCAATGCAAGACATTATCTTCACCTCACAGGAGCATCAAACATTCACGACAGTCTTTCTGGTTTATTTATTAATGTGCTGCCTAATGTACTACCCAAGTTTCCTCATGTATGACAGAAGGAAGGATAAGATCCTGCGTCCTCAACCGAGAAGGAGCCTGACAGCAACTGATACTGGGCCTGGGAGAGATGCCAGCAGGTCTGGGCATCCAGGTCTAAGAATGGGCAGAGTGGAGTAAGCAGATCTGAGAAAGGAGTGAGCTGGAGGTTGCGAAATCATGGACAGATGCAAATAATCCCCTGACCAGCCTCTCAGAATTTTCCCTCACAGAAAGATTATACATAATCAGCTTAACTTAAAACCAAAATACAGAGCTTTTACTGTAAAGTGAAAGTCTGCATAGGGGGTCACACCAAAGTAAGTAGCTGAGGGAAATAAAACCCATTTCAGTATCTTAGTCCCATTCTGAGTGTAAATAAACACTAACAAGCTGGGAGCATCACTCTATGTAATAATCTTTGGCCTTTACCCAGCGTGAACAGTGGTGGCTGGAACTGCTGGAGAGAGAGGCTGTACACTCTGACGGCGCGAGCAGGCTTTGCTTCAACTGCTTCTCCTCTCTTCATCAGAGTTGATAGCCTTTCTCCATCCTTCTTCAAAGCAGAATAACTGATCAGATAGAGCAGGAAAATGTGTGTCATACGGTTGCAATAGAACAAGCTTCTCATTCTCCAGATCCTGTTAATACTGTACTGCAGTGGCACACATTTTACACTTCTAATCCTCTCCAAGGGCTCACCAAAAAAAAAAAAACAACAACAAAAAAACCCACCAGCCAAGTGCTTCCATTGGACACAGAATCATCTCATTTACCAGCAGCTATATAAACTGGAAAACAGGAGATGGTCCTCTTGCTGCACAGATTTAAGTGTTTCATCACTCAATTTGTAGTTTATGAAAACAAAGGGTTTCTCTAAGGGGTACAACACTTGCAGCTGCCGCTAACATCCTGTTTCTCAGAAGTCTGCAGCGCGTACTCTGCTCACTGTTATGTTGAGCTGAGCCCTGGGAGCCACTCAGGCAGCTCCTGTGATTCTGCCCTGAACTTTTACTCATCTCACACCAGGGTCCTCCTGGAACAGCAACTGCCACGTTCCACAGCCTTGTTCTAAGGTGTTTAGGGGATGACTACAGAACCAAAAAAAAAAAAAAAAATTACATGAAACTATCCAAAGCTCCAACTTTGGTTTTGTCAGAAAGATCACCATAGAAAAACCAAAAAAGATCTTGCTGAAATTAGCAGAGGGCAATTTGAAACAGGTCACACAAAGCAGAACTCCTACTGAATCACTGACCCTACAGGACTCGCACTGCAATCACTGTAACCAACCTGTCGCAAATGCAAAGGAAAGTGTGTTAGCTTAAACCACCATAAAAGCCATCTGTCACAAGCTAAGTGCTTGCACACTGCCAGCTACTATGGCTCACCTGACTACAAGAAATTTGCTACGCTACAGCAGCTCAGTCACTAATCACTCATTCATACTCTAAGTTTTAAGAAAACTGATTTGAAGTCATTTCAGGCACTTTCATGCAGATGTCAGTAAGCCTCCCCTTACCCCACAACAAAAATTAAAGACTAGGAGCTTTACTTTCTAATTGGAAGACAGGACAGAAGTCACCAAGTTCTGCAAAGCTGTTTAAGACTGCTTTGCTACTTTACACTTACCCAAAAAACCCTCAGGCTCCAGGTCCCCGTTTGTGCTCAATGTTCCAACGGGCATGGCCTACAGCTGCAAATACTAAACTCCTCAGACTGCCTTGCATCCACCCTCTTGCCAAAATGTGTCTTTTTATTTCCGAGAGAACTGACTTGTGTTAGCAAGTCCTGACAGCTGAGCACAATGCCAAGAGTGTCTGAATATTGTGGAACTTACAGTGGAGGAACCTGCATTATATCCCCTGTGAACTTCTGCAGCACATTTTCAAGATCTCCTTTTGTTACCTGGTCTGTAGAAAGAAAACAGCAAGTATGTTAGCACGGATTATTCACACGGCACTGACGGCATCAATCGCGTTCTGCAAACAGGTACAAATAAGAGTTTCCTCTCATCTGAATTCAGACTCGGTGAAAAACACCAAAGAGAGAAAATCAGAATGTAGGTAGGAGTGTGAATTATCATAAAAAGAGTGGAACAAACTGTCCAAGGTGATTAAGACAGTCTGGACACTTTCAGAAGGGCACAAAACCCAATCTACACAGTCGTCTTTTGCAATTTCTCTCTCTTGGGACTGCAAATTCATTTTTCTTGGGAACTATGCCAAAACTACAAAATTTGTCCTATTCTAATTTTTGTTGAAGGACCAAAAAGAATAAAATGCTCATCTAACCTTGGCAACGCCTCTTAAAGAGAGTACCTCACCGCAGGGAAAAATAAAACAGATCAGAGAACAACAGCATTGAGGGTTTTTTTCTAGTGAAGAAAAGACCGCATCTGGAACAGCACATCAAATTTCTGTATCAAGCAACTAACCTGCAAATGCACACCAGGGCATTGTTATATATTAAGTAAGGCAGTTTTACTGAAGAAATCCTGTAAAAGAAAGATAGCTGCTTTAGGCAATCTACTCCCTTTTCAAAGTACTCATACACATCTGTCCTACTTTTATTAGAAGGCTATAACCTAAGTAGCTAATCCACTGGTCCTTTGAAATGCTATTCAATAGAGATGACATTCATCCTCAATTTGTTTAGAGGGTACAAACGTAAGATCTGTAATCACAATGCACTTCAGTGTATTTCTACTGTCTAGGAATTGACCAGTCCTGTTTTTCTTAAGTTATATTCAATTAGCATCATCCTGCTAAGTCAACAACATCTTGGAACATAAACCAACCAAATTTATTTCTGGAGCCTTCATTATGTTTTGGAACAGACCTTTAGTTGTAGGCCTTACAAAATAGAAGTTAAAGAAAAGAGGCTTCTTTCCACAGCAGCTTTAGAAGATAACAGTGTGGTACCTCGCTCTACAAAACACACTCTGAGGCCTCAAGAGCAGACACTGTCCCTAGGCCCCAGCAGCAGTCTCAAGAAGCGTCATTAACAGCAAGGTTACAAGGTACAAAAGGCAGCCAGGGATGCTGACACCCCAATGTACATCAGAACACGGGGCAGGAACGACAAAATCAATGGTAGAGCAAGGCTGGGTCTTCTCCTGAAGAGCTTCTTACATGGTTATTTCAAATCTTCTGTATTACTCTAGTTCAGCAACGCATCACAACAAACCTACATGGCAGAAAGTTAGCATGACCCAGCTCTATGCCACTGAACCTGTCACACAGGTTGTTTCAGGCTAGAATTTAATATTTAAGATCTAAGCATAAATATAGTTGGGGTTCTCCTTCAATTTTTCCCCCCATAAACTGCATTTGTGGCTAAAGCATTTAATGAGACACCCGAATTCAGTTCCTGCTCTGATCTCATATTCCCCTGATTGAGAGGTTACATCCAGCCTCTGAGGAAATCACTCATGCTATAGACAATCTGTTCGAGAAAAAAAATCCCCATGTGATTCTGTGATGTATTAAGCCATTAACAAACAAAGTTGCATGGTGTATTATCAAAGTAAATATTTACAGATGAGTTTACTAAGATCTAGAATAAATACTATTTGCCTTCTGCAATACATCGTGGCACAAGCTGGCTAGTATCACATTCTGAAAACCTAAAACCACATAAAAACCACGTGCTGTGCTTTGTTGTTTGGGGTTTTTTTTCCAGCATGCACAGCCTTTGCATTGATGGACTGTATTGGATACCTGCCCTCTCCCAGAACAACACATAAGTTGGTGGAGCTTTCATCCAGCCCTCAGTCATAAAGTATGTACTATTAGTCTCATCCTAAACACAGTTTCACTATGACTAAATTCTGTCTTTGTCCCAGGCATCAGTTAGGACTTGTGGCCCTGCAGGGCACACAGCCCACACTGTGAACCAGCTCTACCAGCACCTTTCAGCTCCCACAGTCATTCCACCACAGCAGAGGTGGGAGAACGCAGTCCTACTGCCCCAGAGAACCGCTCCCCTTCAAGCCCCTGGCCCGCCGGTCTCTCACCCGGCTGTGGGCCTGGGTTTAATAGGTTGGCAGCTTGTCTGGTCAGCACGTTTAGGGCAGCACTGGGACTCAACACTCCATCAAGCATGAGATAGGAACATACCCATAAAAGCTAATTAGCATCAAGCGTTCCAGACTTTCACCATATGACTTCCCTTCTCCCCTCCCTGACAGTACAGGGTTGACAGATGTTTCTGCCCCTGCTACCAAGAATTAGCCTACTCCTCCCAACACCCTCATTGTAAATACCAAATATCCTCATCTGCTGTATCACAGACCGTCCGTTTTAGCTAGCAACCGGACTTAAAACTGTAGCTGTGTCCATCCAGGGCAGGGTGTGGAGGCTGCCACCTCGCTTCACAATGATTTAGCGCAGATTGTACCCAGTCCCCGGGAGTAACAACAGCCTTCACCTAGAACAGAATGACTGTACCTGTCCTGCAAGTACACTGTTTGGGATACATTCAACTCCACACTGCTGAGTTTCTCCCTCAGCCTTCAGACTGACAATGCAGTTACATGACTTCTTCCAGTGGACCATTCCCTGCGATCCTACAAGGATCCCAAAGCACCCAAAACTTCTGGCCTCCAGTGCTTCTCAAAACATTTAGTATAAGCCTGTTAACTTCTACCATGAAAATTTTCAAGCGCAGTTGTGCTTCTGAACACTGGTGACCGCTGATCGATTTTCCTGCTATAATCAAATGAAGTTACCAAACCTAAAGGTGCCAATTGTGCCACAACCTCGAGAAGTCTCCACTGAAGGGTGATGCTGCCCTGCGCTTGTTAATGAACTACATCAAAAGAGAAGACAAGAAATATCCATGATGGTCCAACACAACTATGGCTCATGACCTTGACTCCGTCTGGCTCAGCACAAATTATTTGCAAACAGACAAGCAGAATGTTCTAAGGACTACTCGGTCCAAATTATTCAGGTAGTGCTATTAAACACACTTCAGCATACTCAGAAGAGTCCTGCAGAAAATGCTTCTGAATTCTGTTCTCCCAGTCTGGATGTAGAGTGCAGAGAGCTGGGAGTAGGTGGGTTTCAGAATGCACGTTGCTGTGCATAGTTACAAACATTACAAGAGTGACAAACATCATTGTTCCTAAAAAGCATGAGAGGAACGGGAAACACTACTTGCTTCCAAAGTCGGCATCTGATAGCCTGGGAGCAGTAAGAAACCATAACATAACTTCAAGTGGAAATGCAAATTTGTTGTCTGGCAAGAAACAAACAAAAAACTATGAGAAGTTCAGGAGGAGCTAAATCCAAGGAGCAATCCTCACTATACCCTTTCATTGCAACTACCTGTAATACCCAACAGTTTGCTTATTAAACTGCTGCCCAGGGACACATTGAGGACTAAAACGTAACACTTTCTTATAGTTAATGCAGCACACAACTTTCAAGAGGAAAGGGCCTGCAGAATGACTCCACTGAACCACAAGAAGAGTTCTGTGTATGTTGCAGGCTCTTTTTGTGCCTTTTCTCTGTGCTAAGGCCCAGCCCGAGATGCTGCTGGCACTGCAGGATTTATATTTCCTAGCAGATGTGCTGCTTCTCCCAGGATTCTTCCAGGTGTCAAAGGAAAGTTGAAATTCAGCTCAAATTTTCTGAGTAACTTGGAGTTACTAACTGGGATCAGGGATGGTGGGCCACCCAGAATCGTGGAGATGCTTAGGAGAAGCCACTGGCAAAGATGAGAAACACCTGCTTTATCAGAAAATGAGGAAGCAAGGAAATAAAAAATATGTAGGTAGTATGGAGAAAAAGGAATATGCTTATTCTCTCTTTCTTCTTTCTGAAGAATTCAAATCTGACTGATTTGCACAAACCTGGAAAGCAATTGAGACCAATTCCATCAGCATTACTTTCAGCTGTCGGCTTCAGCAAAAGGAAACTCTGTCCAGCACCCAAAACTGCACTGCTCGCTCTTCACGGGATCACCCGATGAACTCCATCACGCAACTGCTCTCAGTTTACACAGATAAGCAACTCCAAAAAAGCAGGTGTTTTTAACTCAAATCAGTTCCCCAATCACACAGCCTAGAAGAAAGCTAAAGCACCATAACAGAGGAGGTGGTGCAGAGGTGGGAACTACTATAACGAGAGCTGCCAGTGAAAGAAACCCGCACGAAAGTGCCACCAATTCTGTCTGCAGCAAACAATGCAAAATAAAAAAGCAAGACTGATGTTTAAAAAAAACTGTTTGGTTTTTTTTAATGTTAATTGACCACAGGAGTTGCATCTACTTGAAATTAAGTTTGACAGTGTATATGAGAGCACATCTACAACAAATACTACTCAGCACAGCAGAACCACAGCATTCCACTTTCTGGGAGGTATACATAAAAACCAAGGAAGTGTTCTCCAACCATCATGAAGTGTTGGCAATTCTAACACCAGGTGGACGTTCAGTCTCTCAGAAGCTTAGAGAGAGACTTAGAATTGATCCTGGAGAAGCAGCAAATGATCCAACATCCCTGTAGAACATTACCTCGCAAATAATACTGTTCAGAATGATCCATCGAGTTAATGTGGACAAGAAACACTCGCCTGCCTCATGCAAACAGAAAAACTTCAAAAGAAAGGAGATTGGGGGTGAGGGGTGAAATCCAGGCTACCTTTTTATCATCCTATTGAAAAAATAGATAATTCACTTCATGTACCTATTACCAGGTACCACAAACAGTGTGGGACCTGTAAGGGTCACTAAGCAACCAGGTACCTATTGGGTTTTTCTTACTTTTTTCCCCAGGCTGCAAAAGAACTAATGTCAAACACATTTGATATATCCCTGGTTAGTCCTATGCTGCTTCTAAGATTCACCAGGTATTGCGGAATGTCCGTTCCAACAAAGCCACAGTCAGGATCAGTTCTGAAGCCTTAAACTCTTGCACTGTGCTCTGTTAGTCAGAAAAGTCCATTTATTAAAGTTGCTAGGACACAGACTGCAAGCAAAAGCAAGATTTGGTAGGTGAGCATACGAAGGTAGTCTATGCCATCCTCATTTTATGTTGAGCAGTTTGTAGTTAGAGGGGCATCCTAGAGGGAAGATCCAAGTACTTTATTCCTCCACTAGCCTTGAAGGGTGTTACTACAAGAAGACTCATGGGACTACACACCGAAATAAGAAAATTTAATTAGACACAAAGTCATTGGTTAGCCTGCCCAAGATTTTAAATTACATAGTCCTGCCCAATTCTATTTTCTCCCTCCTAACCTAATGCCTGGTTTGGTTTTTCTCCAACAGAAGTCAACACTTGCACTGGACATAATTGCATGAAGCTGGTCTGAACTACATGACCACAAAGTCAAAGATGAAATAATCTCGGTTTGATTTCACATTTAAACTTAATTCACAAAGTCCCAAACATCTCCTCCCCTTTTCTATGATAGAGACCATTTATGCCTTCAAATTACATCAAACACAGACACCTTTCTGCTTACCATAAGGTTTTTCTTCAGTTACTTTTCCCGTAGCATCTAATGTATCAGTAGCTTTACCCAGCAGTCCAATAGCAGTGTACTTCTGGAAAGGAAAAAAAAAGAGATTAGTGAGTCAGGTCTTCAAGGTTGTTTCTTTTTTCCTTTTTAAATAAAGACTGCAAGTACCAGGTACTTCAAATCAGGACAGGAAGAATACTGTCTGAATAGTCAATTCAGGAACTTTGGGTAAGTGAAAGTAAAGATGAAAGGACATGGAACTAAACAAAAATTAAATCCTGCATTACATGTGCCTATGATGTGAGTTTTAGTAAACCCCAGGAAGAAGCAACATGGAATCTGATTTTTACTATACACATCAATACGATAAAGAAAATAATAAGGTGGTAAAGTCAAAGTCTCTGTGGGGTGTCATATGTCACCGTCGAAGCACGGTATATAGCATACCTTTCACACACAATTCTTCTGTTCCTTCACAATTTAAAATTAAACAAAACACAAAGACCTTTACTCGTGAAACACCCACTTCCAAGGCAAAGCATTACAGCAGTTCTGCCATGCAATGCAGAGATACACAACAGCCTAAGCTGGAGTTTTGAACATCCAGAATCTGCTGAGGACCTTGTGACGAGCACAAGGAGTGCAAGGCCACTAAGTGACATCTCTGCTCATCACAGGTCCTCCAACCATTTCTGTTTCAGTGTTTCTCCTTACAAAGTTCCCTAATGAACTCTTCCGTGTATGTGTCTGTAGCTCGCAAGAAGGAATTAACCTTTGCCCAGGCCAACTCTTGTCCTTATTGCATTTCACCTGATGTCCTTCTCTTCCACATTTTCGCCTTAAGTACTGCCAGGCTGTGGACATAAGACAAAGGGCTTCCCATGAACCAGCTGCCCCATGTCTTTACTCACTCTGTAACATGAGTTCGGGTCAAGTTCGGAGATACCTTCAGGTACTGAAATCTGTGGTTTGACCCACTGCCATCCCATTCCACCCCAATCCCCTCAGCCTTATGTTAAGTCCAGAAGCCTTCAACATAAGGCATTTATATAGCCTGGGAGAGAAAAATCAAGCTGTTCCACATGCCTAATTCCCAGTAAGGTTTCAATTAACTTACTCTCAACTGAGCTAATACAAATTTGAACCAAGTCATAACGGGATGTATCTTCTAGAAGTCGGTTGAGCAAATTCTACTGGAACACATCCAAACAGGCATAAGCACTAATATTTTACTCTTTGATGCAATGCATCCTTTTTCATGTACATGCAAAGTAAAAACAAGCTCAAGCAATCACATCTACCAAATGGGACTAAGACATGCACTGGTTTTGTTCCGAGTGACAACTTGCCACTTGAGTCAAGCAACTGCCAGGAAATGGAAGCAGCAGGCCTAGTCAGACCAGCGGCAGTGGCGTGAGGAATAGTCAGACCAGAGGCAGTGGAGTGCAGACTTAAATATAAAAATAACCATATTCTTTGCTTACTACATTAAGGCTACCTTTTTCTTAAATACTACAGATGTCTGAATCCCCTGCCAACTCCGCAAGAGTAGCCATTTTAAAATCAAATTCTTGAAGTTTACAAACTTTTGGAATGCATGGAAAAGAAATGAAAAGAAGAATGGAAGACGGTGGCTCCACAACAAATATTTAAATTAACTTTAAAGTATGTTATCTGCTTTTAGAACTATAAAATTGCCTGCTCTCCAAGACATCTAATGATTTAGTAACTAACATTTATTAGCATACACTATTCCAGAGGTTAGGAAAAACAGGTGAGCAGATCATCATTCTAGCATGATGAATGAATTTAGGAATTCACTAAAACTCTAAATCTCAAAGTTTGAGACCTCACACATCATCTTCAGATATTTCCAATTTAAAGTACTGATATTACTTCAGTTTGAATGACTTTCTTCCTCTTACTTCTGATTTTGGCTATCTTGCTGCAGGCTTTTACAGTAACATGTTATATTTGACGTCCCAGCAATAGAGGGATCGTATCACCAGCTTATATGTAAGCACAAACTGTATGAACAATACAGTGCAAATCTCTACACTTGACTTCCCCTTTAATTTCTGCAAAAAGGGCCAAAAGCCATCCGATTTGGAAAAACAAGCATCTTTAGAAGTTAGTCACAAACCCCCGTTCCTTACAGGAGCCTTTACAGAGTCAAAAAAGACTAAAGTCAGCAATGCAATAATCCACAAGGAAGGCTGTAACAGGCCAGGAAATTAAGAATTACAGTTGGTTTATGATCAGTCAGTGCCCTTTGGTACCTGCAATTATATATCATAATTCTTACCAGCCACTTAATAGGGTTTACAACCCCTTTGTTAGTGTGCAGGACCTGGAGGCTGTAGAAGGTAACATGAGAGTCCAGAACTTAATCTACTGTTGTTCACATTTTGTGTCAAATTTCAGCATTAACTCTCTTCAGACTCCAACTCACACTACCCTCAGAAGCACCCAATGGATTCTGAGTCATTTAATAAGTCTTTGGTGACCTTTTCTCACCTGTGTTGGCAATCATTTATTTCTTCAGTTTTATAAAATACATCTAGGGGCACTCTTCCTGTACTCTTAAATTACACATCACTGCAGGAACACAGCCAGCAACTGCTCACAACCATACTGCCTTCAACTCACTTGACCTGAAACAAAATAAGCAAGCTAGTAGGTGTTGCAGGCAGTGGAAAAGCCTAGCAAGCTCAGGCTGTGCGAGGAAACGTCCCTACGCTGGCAGCTTGTCAGAGAACACTGTGCCTATCAACAGCCCCTGCGTCCTTGCCCCCTGCTCATCTCAAGACCAGGACCTAAACCACTCAAAGATGAAAAGCACCCCAGCTTCCCTACGGGATTCCACAAGATGCAAGTGCAGCGCACTGAAAGGCAGTATCAACCAGCTGGAAGGAAGTATCCCTTCCAACCCTAACCATTCTATGATTCTATGATCAAGCACTCCCAGTCACGCCTTCAAAGCATTGCAGAATGGAGTATGAATCCCAACTTCTGAGGTCAGCATGGTCCCAAAGCAGAGGCTCCCAGCTGCCAACAGTGCGAGAGCCCCGAGGGCATACAGACCTGCCCAAAGCTATCCTGCGTTAGGGAATGGCTACATCTCTCAGATGTCTAGAAAACCATTTTCTTGACGTTACGGCAACTGAAACAAAAGGCAGCAAAGTGATCAGAAGCCCTCAAATATAAGCAACTCCGTCACTCACACGAGCGAGGAGACAGCCTTACAATGCTTTACAGTGACAAGCCACCGCGCTGTCTCAGTGATGATGTGATGCAAAAACTGACACACAGACTGGAGGACACTGTGGATTCAACCTCAACGAGACCAGAAAGACAGGAAAGTTCCCCAGCAGCCACACATGTATTACCATACCCGTGACTAGAAAGAAACATGCCATAAAATCCAGGACTGGAGAAAGAACAGAATTACAGGGAACCCCTAAGAAACAAATTACAAACCCTCCAATCAATCAGACAGATCTCGGGAAGTGGAATTTTGTTTTAGAGTCACAACCACAGGGCACAGTCAAACACTGTATGATGTTTACAATAACATTTTAGTAAAAGAATAACTATCGTTTGGCTTTTTTATTTCACACCCGATTTCAGAGAAATCCTTATACTAACGCAGAAAGGGAAAGTATAACCATAAAAAGAGAGAAGGCGGCAAGACTTTATCGGTATACATATTTAACTGTGAAAGGAGGAAGAGAAGGAATAAGAAATCTCCCCTGCTAGAGGGGCCATACAGCCAGCATAGCTATTAGCTGCACAACCCACCCGGGGGGGCTCCCGAAGCTTGAAGCCCCTGGGCTGAGAGCCAGGCATGTCTGTCCCACTTATCAGCGCAAATGCCAGACAGACCATGGAATGGAGCTTCTCAGTTTTAACTGTTAATTCAAAGTTTTAGTTGGAAAGAAGCCAGAGACTTGAAATCTTAAATTATAACATGTTTTAAAAGCTTTTTCAAACATGGAGAAGCAACACTTTGGAAGAGCTAGACAGAAACACAAGTAATTATGAAATAAGGTCACTAGTAGCTGTCAGGAAGATTTGAAGATGGCTCCCACTGCAAGAATTTCCCAGGCAAGCAAGCTCTCTGGAAGAGGCAGTTCATAAGGGTTCATCCGAGGATGACCCATTTTCTAATCACAGCACCAACTGAACACAGAAGTGTAAAAGGAAAATAAATAAATAACAGCTACAGTCCCCTAGACTAAAGACTGAAAGCTGGGAAAAAGCAGCCTCATTCAACAGAAACAGAAATTCAATTTATGTAAAATGGTGTCTGCGTGTGGCTGACAAGGTTGAGGGAACATAAAACAAACACACACAACCAGTGCCCTGGAGAACCTGAGCGAAATGAGAGTGAGCACACAGCAGGCAAGCACTGATCAGCATTAGTGCCTGCGCCTGACCCGTTCAGCCTGCGCGCTTGGTGCGAGCACTTACCTTTTTCTACATTCAGGCCACTGAAACAGTGAGGAGGCCTTAAACTCTCAGTTTTACAGCAACATGCAGCTTGTGTGTAATGATTTCTAAAGCACAACTAGGGTGCTCTGGATTTAATATTTACATAACTTGTATTTGCTGTTTGTATAACAGTAGCAGCTACCAGTGCTTTCCAGTATGCTAATCATCCACCAAACCAGAGGAGTACACGAGGTAGACAAATAAGCTGGAAAAAACCCGAGGGTTGCCATAGTTTCAATTCTTTTCCAAAACAAAGCACTCTCACTAAGCAGATTCCAATACATTAAAAGCACAGAGCCCTAATCTCTTAAAAGCAGGTTGCACAGAGGCAAATAAAGGCTGCAGGATGAGGGAGGAGTTCCATATTTTACAATAGAGCAAATTCAAAATTATCAAACACCAAACATGTCCTCTTAATATACACAAACATTACAACTTCTCTACCATTCATTTTTTTTCTCCTCAAAGAAAAAGCTGACTTTGTGCTAAGCCTGCACTAAATTTTATTTACTGCTAGATGCTGTAATTGTACTGTCATTGCTGAAGAACTATCTGATCTTTACTCTTGGGCTAACAGGATTTTCTGACCTC